AACTGTCAGTTGCCTCTGTCCGACAAGCAGTTGATCACAGAGCAACATGTTAATCGCCAAAAAAACCACGGTCACAGTGAAAAATCCAAGGCTCCTCGGAGTCATCGACCTGTTATTGATCAAATTAAGATAGGCGACCTGGTGTACCTTCATAACGATCGCAATAAAACATGTGCACGGAATCGTTACCTAGTAGTCACCAAAGATGGCCTCTGGTGCAATGTCCGCAAGTTCGTTGGGACCCAACTGCGGAACACTTCATACAGAGTTAAGCTCTCAGAATGTTTTAAAGTCCCCCTTTGGAACAAGACACGTGTGCATGAAGCGAACAGTGAGGACACATCTGACATCGATGATGACCCACCTGAGACACTTCACCAGACACCGGAGACTCTGCACATTCCTCTGGAAATTTCTACTCCTCCTCTGCCACCGCTTAAGAATGACGTGTTTGATGACAATCACCCAACTGACATCAGTTCTGCGTCGGATCAATCTGACCCCCTATTTGACCCAGGTATACAGTCGTCTTCAACTTCAAGGCCATCGCGTCAACGTCAACGACCAAAGCGATTTGATGAATACGTTTTGGACTTTTGAAGTATTGTGTTTGTTTATTAAATGTTATGTTTGTGAGGGGCAGAATAATCCCCATCGACCAGAGGGCAGTCTACCCTATGATGGTTTACTTACCAATTGGTTTCATGGTAAACCAGAAATTGGATCTTTATTACATCATTGTTTACTTACCAAGTTGTTTTTCACGCCTATTTTCTTCATTATGGTTTGTTTAGATAACGTTTATCATGAAGAAAAAAAAGACAGTCACGCCAACGCAGGTTTGCTTGGCATGCTTTAATGTAAGCAGGGTTAGCTCCCCTTGGTAGCTCGCCTGTCTTGGGAGGTTCGCTTGGGTTTCGCGGTTCGTTTCGAGTGTTGCCAATAAATATCATCAAGTCTTTACCTGTGTCCTGTCGATGTGTGACAAGTGTACAGTTCCCTCTAACCTAACTGGCGTAGCGATGAATTTTCAGGTTGAAATTGACCCATTGCCTAGGAATATTCAAAACCTTGTGATAGAATACTTAGTGGATGAAAATATACTCAACAACAAAAGTTGTGACACCAATATTTTAGTGCATTTTTCAAGCAAGTAAAGTTTGGTTTTCAATATTGTACTACATATATGGAATCAAGTCACAAAAACGCAACTGCTACAGAAAAGCATGCATTCCATGCAAAAGTTGACTCTTATGCAAGCCCCATGCATTTCACTACACAAGAATGGGTATAAAAACATTACGAAATGCCACACCTGTCCGAAAATGAGCGTCTGCGAGCCATTGGTATGCTTGAAGTAGGATCGAGTCAACGTTTTGTTGCAAGACAATTTGATGAATGCAGTCAGAGACCATCCTCAGAGTGGCAGGCCACGCATAACCAATAATCGACAAGACAACTGGATTCGAACAACACACCTACGAAATCAATTCCAACCAGCAACAGTGACTGCAAGAAGCATCCATGGCCTTTGACGAATATCTTCACAAACCGTACGTCGCCGCCTCAGATGTGCAGGGATTGTTGCCAGAAGACCCGCCAGAAATTGTGAAACTGGCTTACCATTGTTTAAGACCATAAATTTTGACTTGGTGACTTGGTGACTTCTCAGACCACATGGCTTGAAAACCTGACTCCTGAGCATTTACCTCCCCTTGTTATATATTTGGAAGGGCAGCTTTAGACCAGTTAATGCAAATTTTAGAACTTTAAACGAAATTGGAATACTACAAACTTAAAAGAAACGAAAAATGAATATACCCTTTAGAAGCTAAATGAAAAAGGGTGAAATTTTGACCATTACACACCGGCCTCCTAATTGTAGAATGTAAGTGAAAGATTACTAAAATTGGTACCTTAGGGGCAAATATATCTGTCTTATGAATTAAACTCAGATAAATCACTTTGTCTAGATAACATACAAACAAACATCCTGGATTAAACTAAAATGTAACACTTTCTCAATCAGACACAGCTAATGTTCTTTAGTCTCTTTTGGTGTTGTTTTGTATATTTCACATTACACAGTACACCTTCAGTCACTATTACTCATAATAACACACAGTTTGTCGATTGGTCGCAATAGTTCACAAGTAGTGGTTTTAATTTTCACAGTTCTCACTAAATCTCTTCTGTCTCTGAACACTTCAATAACACGACCAAGTGCCCATGCATTGCGCAGCGTATTTTCCATGACAAGTACAATATTTCAAACTTGTAGGTTTTTCCTGCTGGTGTTGATATCTGCTAGATATTGTACCTGTCTCGACCGATGCTTGTAGTACACGTCATCCTTGGAAAATGTCCCGGGGCGGCATCATCTCTCCTGATCTCAAATAAAGAAGATGGTTTGGTGTAAGAGGTGTTAGATCATTTGGACTACAAGGTACATCTGTAAGGGGCCTTCCATTGACAATGGCTTCGATTTCACAGATGAGTGTGTTGAGAGATTCATCATCCAACTTCAAAATCTGTTCATGCATAAGTGAGTACATGATTTTCCGAACAGTGAGTACCATCCTTTCCCAAACGCCACCATGGTGTGAAGCTGATGGAGGAATGAAGCGCCATTCGATCCATTCATTTACCAATGTTGAACTTATATTGGATTGATTGAAGCTGGAGAGTGCTTCACGAAGCTCCCGTTTACTTCCAACTAGATTGGTGCCTAATCAGATCGGATAGTCTTTGGTGGACAATTAACCTTCTGATGGCATTTATGCATGAGTCAGTGTCCAAAGAGATAGCTACTTCAAGATGAATAGCCCGAATAGCCATGGAGGTAAAAGTACACCATATCTTTTGACATTGCTTCTTCCACGCTTTACTTGAAATGGACCAAAGTAGTCGATACCAACATTGGAGAAAGGGGGCGTATCTGACTTCAGATGATCCTCTGGAAGATCTACCATTTTCGGCTGACCAGCTGGTGCTTGATACCTACAACAAATGACACATTTAGCAAGCTGTGATTTGATAATAGATCTGGCTCCGATTCTTTCACGTCTGTGTTCTGATCAACCTGAAGAATGTACTGATGATTTCCACTACAATGTGAGCAAACAGCCCTCTGGGCACAACGCTTGCTGATGTGTCCTTTATTCAAGCACCTGAAACACAGGCCCTTCCATCGCAGGAAAGATAGTCACTCAATGTGAGGCCTTAAAATAATCTTTTGGCAGTGACCAACCGAATGAGACAGATCATCACAATACATACATGGAACTTGTTCAGCCTGTGCTTTGACAGGAACCGTGGCTCTCATAACTGAAGGTGGCTTCAGAGAATCCTTAGGGGGTTTTACAGCTCCTACCACATCAGTACTGAATGATGGTTTTAGTGATGTAGTTGGTGGTCTTCGGGGTGATGGTTTACTCTTTTCTTCAGTTTTCAAGGCATCTCTTCCAAAAATGGGGTCTACTGCATTCTTAGCCTCACGCTTAACAAAGTTGACAAGGTCCTGAAAATCAACCAATCTTCCAGAATCTTGAACATGGAGGACAAGATTTCTCCACTTTTCATGGTATGAACAGGGCAATTTCATAACTAACTTCCTCAGATTATCAGGATATTCAAGGAATTTGACAGCAGTGATTGTGTAAGCCATTTACTTCCACAGCCTCATTCCCGTCTCAAGAGTTTGCATAACTCTTGTTACGCTTACAAAATTTAAACAAGAGGTTCTCCAAGTTTGGGTGGCACTCTGAGTGAGGGAGTAATGCTTAAGTCCTAAATAAGGGACAAACTACAAAATTGTTCCACATACTGATTTATTACAATTTTAAGGATTTGCAAACATATACATGTATTCCTAGTTCGGTCACAATCTGGTTACAAACCAATGGAAGTATTATCGACCAGTATACATGTGTTTCAAGTTCAGACACAATTGGTTACAAACCAATGGAAGTATTATCGACCAGTATACATGTGTTTCAAGTTCGGACACAACTGATTACAAACCAATGGACGCACTAATATCGAACGATAGACATGGAGGCGTTAAACGCTTTCACTAGTCACAGTCCTCGAACCTATCTAACAAACTCGGTCGACACACCGGGTCCAAAGTCTTGGAAACTCTCTAGCCTAACCAACACTGGCACACAAATTCCAGCAGAAAATATTCTTAAACTACGTGCTCAATCTATCCCATTATAACAAACATGATAACCTCAACAGAAAAACAAGAAAAATGGTGTGACTGGGCAAATAAAAGAACCAAACTACTACTAATACAATTATCTTACCATACCAAACGCATGTGTGCACAGATTCCGGCAAGCCTGTCCCCGGAGCCAGACGCTGACTGCCGCTCGTGCAGCACGCACAAGCTTAAGTATCCCTTTCCAAAAACCTGGATGTTAAAAACACCCATATGAACCAAGGTAACTTCCTGTTCCGGTTGTGGCGAGTAAACTTCCGTTACAATTGTACTCACAGCATTCAAACATTCCTATAAGAAGATAGCATATTCATCTATAGATCTTGAATTGAGTCTGTCTCAATATGTGTCACAATACGTGTCTCAATACGTGTCTCGTGCAGTGACTGTCCAGTGCAGCTGTATATGGTAGACTGACTTACAAAGTGCTTGTGTTAGTATAGAAAATAACACTGACCAAGCAGAGAGCAAAGAATAGCTTGCCCTAAAGGCACGACAAAAGATTACCCTCGACCCTCACCATAAAACAATAGAACTGGCCAGCCCAAGTTCAGCTTGGAGCAATAAGGCTGGGAACTGGTACCGTACATAATCCAATAAAACACAAAAACTACACTGTCTAAAACCAATACCATATATATAAAAATAAACTCTGAAAAATGACACTGCAAAATATATATATGGCAAGATATTTCAAGGATTGTATTACACTTTTACTTCGATAAAAATATTGCTTTGATTAGTTTGCTTTTTATAATGTGTATATGTTTTTCAGGTTTAGGTTCTTCTCCTTTCTCATCAGCTTCAAGCAGCATCAGAAACTCTCCAGATCCGGAAAGTGTTCAGACAGGCCAGACAACATTTGATGTATGCTATAGTGTACCTGATGTTACACGCACAGGAGCCTCCCCAAACACTCCTGCTTCAGACCTGACACACCACCAGCAGTATGGGCCAGGGAACTTACAGGTTGGTAATTCAACAAACATGTCTTTATTTTGTCATATTCTATCATTTGATACATGAGAACAGTAATTATCATATACCGTATTCGACCCAATAAGCGCCCAGGGTGCTCAAAATAAAGACAGAAGGGGTGGGCGCTTATTGGGACCAATTCAGAGTCAAATTAGCGTAAATTCATCAGTAAGCCTTACCGTATTTTCTTGAGTAAAGTGCGCACTATTAAAAAAACAAAAACAGAAGGGGGTGCGCATTATACACGAAATAATGAGTTTTGATGTTTTTTCCCCCATGGAAAGACATTACTGTGAGCACGTAACACCGGAAATACCATGTCAACAAATCCATACTGAAGTTCGCAAATTATTCATGTAATTACACTGTCTGGCTATAAAAAGTGTTCTTTGTATATCTGGCCTTATGTTTGTATCTTGTTTCATTAATTTTATTCAAAATTCCTTTTAATATTGTTTTTATTAATTTCGGCGAAATCGTGTGTGAAGCGATCGGAAGATCTCACAACTCACCTTTATTAACAGCAACCACGGTCAGATTACCGCTATTGACGCCTTGAAACAAACTTTAGTTGACAGAGAATGGATACATATATCATAAATGCCATACTTTGATTCGTTAAAAGTCATATTTGTTTTTGTTGGACAATTCTATGTCAACACGTAATTCTCGCGATCACGCAATCACTTGCACGGGAGCCTTGACAGTGACTGGTCAGACTGGTTCCATGTAAAAAATAATACCTGGCAATAGCGATCAGCTGCTTCGCTTAGGGTTATTATTATTTTTAATATATTTAGTAAAAGCTGCATCTAAATTAACAAGATATTGGAATATATTATTCCTGATAAAAAAATAGTTTCAGATACAACTTTTGCCGATCCTTGCATTAAAATCATGTAAAGTTATATCATTGGGTGTGTCTTGACCGAATCACCGGTAGATTGCAAGAAAACGTGTGTACAGATGATTGCTGTGTCCGGCTTAGTTTACGAGAAAATACACAAGGTAATCTTAATCTCTGGATATAAAACAATGCCTAGCTATATGTAGTAACACCACTTATAAGAAACAGGTTTCAGTATTTATCATAAATGCCATACACTGAATTGCTGAAAGTCATATTTGTTGAAGTATGACCATAAAGTTTTCGCAATCGCGGGTGCAGGAGCATCGGTCAAATTCTTCCATACAAAAAGATATCCAGCAATAGCGATCAGCTGAACAAAAGTGCTACGCTTATTCATGGTTATTCATTTATTTCACATATTAATAGTAAAGCTGCGACTAACATGATATTGGAATAAATTATTCCTGATTAAATAATAGTTTCAGATACAATTCTTCAGCTCATTGTATCAAAATTCTTTATTGGGTAATTTTTTACTGAATCACAGGTAGATTCCGAGAAACGTGTACAGCTGATTGCTACTTCCAGCTTAGTTTACGAGACAAGACACAAGGTAGTCTTCATTTCTGCATATAAACTATGCCAATCAGAACAGGAAATACAATTTAATCAGTAATCTTCATGTCTAGAGAAGTTTTATCTCAAATTTCAAATTTGTATTGGCCAAGTTTAATTGTTATTATCTGTTCATTTCCCTGAATTCGCAGAAGGGATCTGATGTAATTTTTTTCTGCGGAAGACAAACCTGGTTTATTGCAAATGTAGGGATTGTGTATGGTCTGGTGATGTGCTTCATTCTGATTCGCTTTATAGATGGGGTATATAAATTAGCATCGATTTCATGCATATTTTACGAGACAAATACACATGTAATGGTAAATCTTAACCTCTGCATATGAAACATTGTCCAGCATACAGTACACAAATACCATTGAATTTGTAAATCATTATGTCTAGTGATGTTTTATCACAAATTTCATGTTTTCATTGATCAATTTTGCAAACAGCAAAACAAGCACACAAACACCTATTGCCGCCATGACCATAACACACGAGATGCGCAGTAAAGCAGTGCGCATGAAAAGGGAAGTAACTGCACGTTATATTGGATCGCATTGTTTTTAAGTATTGTAGCATTTCACTGTTGGGGTCGTGTGTTCGAGACCTGGAATATTTAAGGATTTTTATCATTTTTGAAAATGGAAATAGAAACGAAATGTTCAGGAGACTTTGTGATGATGCGGCGGTGTCTGAGAACTAAGAATATATTTTTTGTTAGGCCTTAGGTTATTGGGTTTCACCAGGTAGACTTGGCTATGCTAAATGGACAGTGTTGTCTTGCTGTGTCAAGCTAGACTGGTTCCTGTTTGTTCCTAGAAGGGAGAGCAGCGAAAACAAGCAGAGGATCCAGCAACCAGTCCAAGTCTACCTGGCACAGTGCAATAAGCACAGAAAACCATTCTGATCTTTCTACATATCCTTGAATGTACATTGTGATGCACTTATGTAGAGAAATTTATATATTTATTAAAAATCAGCAAAACAAACTGAAAAATGATTGACTCAATTATGCTTTTTTACTACAAAGTTCATTATGTTTGATAGTACCTTGTTGCACGTGTATTAACATACAATCATACCAGCATAAAGGTGGGCAATGCCTTCTGGGGTTTTCGGTAGCCTACCAAACACAGGTCTCTGATGGGGTAAACATGATAGAAAATTGGGAAGATGACGTATTGAATGACAACTGAAAAAGTAGTATAGGTAATGGGGGTTCTGGACCACTTCCACTGGAGCCAGATTTATATACCTATACTGCTACTACAGGGGGGATTTTTTATGCGTAAATGATTATGTGATTCAACGATAGTCATGAGATTGGCTCTAGCTCACCAATACCTGGGGCCAATCAATGCTTTAGATGAGTCTAAATGGTAATAAAAATATTCTTCATTATTTTTATCGATAAAACGATATTCAACATTTTTATTAAGTTCTTCGTTCATTTTACTAGGAGACCAGACTATATAACTACACTCTTTTTGTAAATTGATAAGAAACAATTGATAACCGTATTTGGTTGGTTTGACATCACTGATATAATAAAAACCTTGTGGTAATTCTTTCCATTGAATAGCTTTCTCCATTATTATATATTTATGTTAGCATTTGTCTAAATGTAATCACACGATAGTAAACAATCTATTTTTAATCTCCAACCAGTTCTTTGGTTTTGGCACGGAATAATTGACGCGCTTGTTGCCTCCCCTGTTCTATGAACTTTTTTTTCTCGTCTTCGCTAATACCACTGGTCTTACGAGATTTTGATCGAATCTCCTGCTTCATTTCGTTGTATTTGGTGAGTTCCGACAGCACTAAACGAAACTCATCCTCGGATATCTTACAATCGACCATTGCTGTCGAAACATGATCCTCAATGCTGTTCAACTTTGCTTCGGCGAGTATCCGAATACTATCGTGTTTTAATGCTTTCTTTTGCAACCTACGAGAAAGGAATTGTATCACTATTCCTGCCAGTCCCGAGACTCCAGCAGTTATTTCCATGCCGAGCACGATAGGCGCGGGGATTATAGTTGATAGTAAACCGATACCCGCTACACCGAGTCCCATGCCAGATACTAAAAGCACGGTGTCAACTCCGTCCAGAGCATTCACGGCTCTGCGATACTTTTTATACAATCCAAGTCTCAACTCCCTCTCCTTCCCTATTCGATGTTTTATGTCGCTTATTTGATGTAATCTAAATCCATCAACAGTATCCATCTTTTCAAATGCTTCACCGAGCGTCGGATATAAACTCATAGTGTATATTACGATCATATAATAGTCTTTAATTGGTCTTGCTTAAATGTTTTGAGACTATACATCAACCTTATCAAATGTATATTATACGGCAAGAATATCTTAGAAAGAGAAATACTGTCACTTTTAATAATTTGGACCCCCTCGAGGGTTGCAACGGGCGATGCTCCGATATGAATAATACTGCAACGTTGACGCTCGTGTTTCTTGAGCCATTTAATCGATAGACCTGGTAATATATCGAAGGCATCTTCCGGTGCATCTCCGAACAAGACTTCAATAATAAGCGTAGAAAGATTAGGTATTGCACTCAGGTTAACTTTAATATCTTCGAATTCAGTAACCAAATTTAAAGTAACATTTTTTAAGGCCGGACGACTATATAACATATGACCTGGGTTTTCTGGCAGGGGAGTGACCAACACACTTTTTCGTTTTGACGGGATATAAGCCGCGAGTACGATGCCACTATTTATTATCTTAGTTAAATTATGTCCCTTACCCATCATCACATAAGGTGGGGTAATGATGATATTCAGTAGCCACTCGATGTTTGCTTCGATCATAGTCCATTTATTATCGTCGTTGCGAGTAATATTGTACGAAGTGTTTTTAAGGAGTCTACTAACATCAACATCGCTTAAATCTCCTAGATTACCCGTGAATGTAACTTCTTTCCGATTGTATACATTATCGTGTAAGTGTAAAGCGTATAACTTACCATCGGTACCGGGTTTACCAAATCCTTCTGTGTCTCCAAGATCGGAAAGCGCAATTGTATTACATTGTCTTACTGTTCCAGGGCCTGATGCATCAACCATTATTTTTAATATGGAGTGTTACACTTAAGTATCCTATATGTACAAGTTGGTGTTTTACATCTAATACAGAAATTTTGAGGTCTGAAATAATACCACGCTTCAATGTTTTATATTGTAATGATGAGAAAGATTCCGTTCTACCGCTATTATATTTTTCATTTTTCACTGGAACACATCTGAGTAGAGTTGAAGGACTTTCTAGTTGAATATTATCCGTCGTGCTTATTTGATCAAGATGGATGAACAACTCTTTATAGGGAACTAAATCGGGTAATGCATCTCCATCAGATGTTGTCCTGTATATTGATAATATAAAGTTTCTTGATCTTTCTACCTGTGTAAATCCAAGTGTAATTGCTAAGTTCTCATGAATCCATATACCTTTTTCTCCAGTGCCGATTTTCACTATCCCATTCCACTCATTTTGTGTGATA